AGCCCCCGCAGGCGCGGTGGGATGCTCCCGGCCCCCGGGCAGAGCCCTCCCCCGGGGGGCTGAGCCAGGCAGCGCAGCCGGGGGCAGCTCCTTCTCCCCTGGGGGGGCAGCCTCGGTTTTGTTGTTTGTTGTTTTTTTTTTTCCGTAATGGGACGTTTTTCCGCGGGGGGTGTCCGGGATGCGCCGGGGCGGAGGGGTGGGCTGGGCACGGAGGGTCTGTAGGGCACAGAGCCTATAGGGCATCCTAGGAGAGGGGAATCAGGACGGGAATCCCCTCGCCCTTCCACATAGATCCATCACCTTCCTTCCCGTGCGGGTGTGGGCATGCTCCCCCTGAAAATCATGAAGGTGAACCCTGAATTAGCCTCAGATACGATGGTTCTTCCCATAAAATCTGCCAGCGAGAGTGCACCTGGAAGACAAACTCAGAAAGGGGGCTAAGGCAAGGAATTCTTTAAAATGCACATTTGTGGGAATTTTAAAGTATATCCCCAGGCTTGTGAGCGAACCACAGCTGACAGTAGCAGAGGGATGTAGGGGAGCATCTCTCCCCTTCCAAGAAGAGCTTCTACCTGAGCACCACAAACCACTCACCAGACCCTGCATCTGTCAAAAAGCAAGTTGATCGACTTAACCGCAAATTGAGCAAATCCATGAGCACACAACCACCTCCCTTACACACCCGAGTCCTCCACAACGCCTCCTGCCCAGGAGGAGCAGCAGGGCCCAGAAGACGCGGGGACACGTTTCTGGTTGGTGCCGGGAGCGGGTCACACACCGGGCGCTGTGCCTGGGACAGGCTCCTCGCTAAACCCAACACAACAGGGTAAGAAGCTTTGGGAGAGAGTCATCTGGTGATGATGTCGTCTCTTTGCAACCTCCAGTGACTCCAGAGGCTGCACGACAGTTTGATCTGTTAGTCTCAGGCTGTTCCTTCTTCCTCTGATGCAAGTCAGGGTTTCGCTTCTGCCTCCGATGCAGGGTGCGACTTTGTACCGTGAGTGACCCGTTCCACTTTCCTGTTAAATCAGCACACCATGCTGCTTGCTACAGCGGTGTGAGAAGGAGAGGGTAGCTGAAATGATAGAAGCTCTATCATTTTACTCAAGGAAAGCTGTGCTTGACTATGCCCCAAGGAAGCAGGATTAGTCCTGAAGTGCTACGAATGTTAAAAACCTTATATTAATAACATCATTGTGATTCAAATCATCCACAGGGAGAAACAGAACAAACAAACAAGCAAACTCTGAATACCTGAGGTTAGGAGACAGGCTCTGAATTGATCACAAATCCTACTGGTTTAAAATGGGAAAATATATTGGTTATCTGACCTGTGCCCTGCGCATAACCGGGGCATCAATTAATGCAGTCAGATATAATAAACCACATTTTATTATAGGTGAAAGGAATACACCCAGAGAAGAAACCAGTTTACTTCACCCAGAAAACCACGGGCTGAAGAAGCTTTGGCAGTACTTGTATTCCCAGGATGATGGGGTTTGGATGGTGGAGGCAACAGGAACAAAGGCCAGTTTATTTTTTTAATGAATGCAGATGAAACATTCCTTACAAACTGCACAGGGAGAGCTCACTCTGCACTGTAGGGTCAGGCAACCCGACATCAGAATTAAAACAGGAGCTCAAGCCTGCTGAGAGCAGGCTGGGCTTAGGCTGGTTTGTGTTGCGTGCTCTGGAAACTGCAGGGAACAGCACGGGAAGGGCTGGGTTGCAGCCGTGCAGGTCAGTACCCGGCCTTTGTGCCATTGCTTAAGGTTTCCTGCATCTCTTGTACTGCCTCCTGCATCTAAAAACCTCCCGTAAGCAGAGCTATTTTCCAACAGAGTTGTACTACAAAGGAGACATTGTGTGAAGCAGCAGAACGTGATGCTGCTGAAATACTAAGCTTGACATAAACAGGATATTTTCCACCTGCACTTTTATCTTGATGAGCTGAGTAGAAGGCAACCAAACATCGGCTGGGATTCCACATGTGTCTGAAAGAAAACACACCGACTCTCCTTAGCTTATTAAGAAGGGTGAAACCATAGGGATAACTTAACTTGTATTTCAGAGAGAGGCTTCAAACTCCCAAAGCCTGCTCTTATAATCTTCGTTTGTATGATTTCTGATCAGCGTTGGTATAGCAGGAGGCCTGGACACAGAGGGGATCTGCCATCAAGCATCCAAGTGACCTCACTGGTTTTAGTGGGGCTACTCAGATGTTGGAGGTTGGACACTTGCTGCAGTACTGTGGTCTCCAGCCTCGCTGATCGCGAACACCAGTGGTGCCCTGCATTGGAATCTCCTGAGAACACATTCGGGGGTTTTTTTGTTTACTCTTTGCAGGCCAATTAAAAAGCCGCCTGCCGACCTCCAGAAAATCCTTTTCTTCTGCGAGATGAAATATTAACTTAGCTGAATTTGGACCCAAGTGAATAAAACATGTAGAACTTAGATCTTAATTAGGTTTATTTCATTAGCAGGTGGATTAACAAGGCACCACTGGATGAGGCAGCCCACAGACCGTGCAGCACAGTGGCCCTGGCTTGGCATGGCCTCAGCAGCCACCAGCATCTCCAAAAAACTGTGCCAAGTCCTGTCCCATCTGAATTCCTGCACGAGTGCTGCAGGGCCACACATCTACCCTAAGAGTTTAACTCGTAAGACCAACTACAACTTTAAATTAGCAAAAAAAAAAGAAAGAAAACCAAACTTGCTCCATATCCTGAGTTTTGTACTTCCTGGATATAACCTCATCCTCGGGTTCTGACGGGCAAAATGTTGCTTCGAGAGTCCAGTCTGGATGTCAGGAAGGATCTCTCCTGATCAAGGGGTTTTGGATGGGGTCCGAGGGATTCTCAGCAGGGATTCTGATCCCTGATGTGTGTATACAGAGCAAGGCAACTGCAGGCAGCTCCGTCCCTCTCTAGCAGACAGCCATCAGGAGAAGACCAAGAACAGGGAATTGGCCAAGCAGTCATTACTGCAGTCCTCTCCAAATGCTGTGCCACGGGTTTGTTTAAGAGATCCCGGTTGTTTTGTTTTTTTTTTTCTCCTTTAATTCCTGAAGATGCCCCTTCAGTTTAAGATCCTGATGCACATGCTAGTCACATCCTGACTTCAAGGAGGGAATGAAATCCAGTTGGGAATCATCCTCAGGTTCAGATGATGCTCCAGAGACTGTATGTCCCTGTTCTCAGCCAGTCCTTGAATCAGAAACCTCTTCCCATCCAAATCTGTTGTGCTGAGGGGGATTGCATGGATCCAGCTGCACTGCTAGGGGAGATTAACCTGTGACAATGGGACCTTGTTATCACTTGTTCCGGCAGGTTACATCCAAATCACTCCAAGAAGCCAGAGGTTTACTTCACAAGAAATCAAGAAACAAAGTTAGCAACCTTGAAACAAAGCAGCAGTATCTTACCACAGCTTGTTATCTCTCATATCCACAGCCTCCTCGCTCTGACAGATCAAGACGAGCAATAGAGACTAAAAGTATTAGCTGGGGACACGTCTCTTCACAGCCCAAACCCTCTAATTGTCACAGCTGCTGAAAGCTATAGATGGTCTTACATCCCACAATACATGGGGGGCGCATTATTCCACTCAGGTCATTTACATCTGCCTCCTCTCCATTTTAATAACCTCATCTGGGTCACAGTGCCTTTACAGATGTCCGGTCAAATGCAGTGGTGTCAGAGTACTCCGACCTCAACAATGCCACGTCCAAAAGGCAAAACGTGCCTGTCCTGGTGCTTTATGGCCTTACGAGCTCATCAGCCAGCCCGCTCCCCTCCTTCAGGGCAGACAGCAGCCTTCCCAAGGTGGCACGTCACATCATATTTCTCTATCACAAATGAGAAGTAAAACCGGCTGCCAGTCGTCTGACGGATGGCAGCTTTCCACTGTGCGCAGCAGTATTTCACAGGGGACACATTCAAAACAATCAATCGGAAAGTCTTCACGTAAGGGCTGGGCGAGCGGTGAAGCTTCCTGCCACAGGACACTGTGGATGCTTAAAATGTATACGAGTACAAATGGATCAGGATAAATCATCTGCCTGGGTAGGAAGAGGAAAGGGCCTCTGTCCTGTCTCCTCCAAAGAGTAATGTTGGGTGCAGTGACAGCACCTAACTGCGGGTGACCAGAGGTTGCCACCTTGGGCAGCCAGGTATAAGAACCGGACCCTGTGATATCCCCATGTGTCTTACTGAAGACTTTTTTTTTTGTGTGTATGTAGAAAAAGATTACTGAACCAGCTAGAAAGAGAGAGAGAGATCGTGAAAAATGTGTGAGGACTTTTGACCTTCTCATTTTAAACTTGTAATTTTTTTAAACTTCCCATTACCCCGGGGTAATAACTAGAGAGCTGTTACAGAGCTCAGCTGCTCTGGGACTGAAGCCAGCCAAAGCCAAGACTATCAAAGTAGAAGACCTAAAAGAGGTGACAATAGCACAGACATGTCCTCCTTCTCTCCAGAGGGACCGGAGAAGCCCAAACTGAGCAGCTCCGTAGTGGTACACCCTCAGCAGGCGATGTCCAAAGGAACCACACTCTGCTCTTCCCCTCCTTTTGCAGCCTGGTGAGTACATCGCAGAGAAAAACAGCCCTGGGAGAGCAAAGCACAGTGTTTTAAAAATTGTTCTCATCACTACACAAGAAAGGGAACAATCTCAATGACTTCCATGCTTTGAAATGGTTCCCCAGCCGCCCAGGGCAATCTGTAAAATTTATCAGAACCGGTGTGTGAAATCTGTCATCTTCTCTCTGATCCCTGTGAAGTCTTGGATGTTGAGGAGTGGGGGGGGGGAGGCAGCTCCTAATCAGGCTTTTCAGCATTTCTACACCACCGTCATCTACATTCTGCATTTGTAATTCCCTAATATGAACTTGCTGAGCTGCACAACAAATTCTCATCACCCTTTGATGAGCAAGCGGAGGAC